AGTTTGTATGACTATCTGAAAAGTTTTGAGAACTATTTCTGACATGTCTCGTGAATTATATGTAGTCATTTGCATAGCATGAAAAGGCAAAGTGCATTTTTTTCCTTTTTAATTCTATAGACTTGTTAATATGCTTGAATTTTAAAGAGAACAAAAACAACATTAATTCTGATTCAATTGTTTTTGATTCTAGTGGGAATTGGACAAGGAAGGTGGGAAAGCAGACAGTTCGGTTGAAGACAAAACAGCTGAACCAGATGGAAGCGAAATCTTAGAACCATATGTGGGTATGGAATTCGAATCTGAAGACGATGCTAAGAAATTCTACATAGAATATGCCAGACGGGTTGGATTTGTGGTACGAATTATGCAGCGCCGTCGTTCAGGGATTGATGGAAGAACACTTGCCCGTCGTCTAGGATGCAACAAACAGGGTTTCTCTCCTAATCAGAAGGACACATTAGGAGCAGAGAAAAAGCCACGTCCTAGCGCACGAGAAGGCTGCAAAGCAACAATCTTGGTTAAGATGGAAAAAAATGGAAAATGGGTTGTTACAAGATTTGAAAAGGAGCATAATCATCCTCTTATCATAACAGCCAACGGCTTCAATACCATGGTGAGGTTCTATCAAGTTGTGTATAACAAAAGTAGTTTAAATTGTTACACACACGTATCAAATAGGGTTTAAATGTCTTGAACTTAGTTGTTTAACTCTTATGCATTAGATCATTGAGTTTTACTTTATTACATTGAGTAGAATGTTCCTACTTCTGGATTTCATGCATTTGGCTTGATTCTAATTGTTTGACATGGACAATTACATCATTTGTTATTCAATAGCATATAGATGTCAGCTTTTTTATATAATTTAAAATTATAGAATATGCTGTGGGGTGGGTGATAATTTCCTTTGTTGGGATTAATTGCCATAATTGAGTTTTTGGTCACCACTTTTGTATTAGACTGTCTTTTTTTCATTTGGATGGAATCTATTAGAATTGAACTTAATTGCTGCCTAAATTTGTTTTATAAGATATGAAGTATCTATACTTTGTACCCATTGATTAAAACTAGTGATGGATGATTTTTTTGGTGTTATAACTTTTGCTTTTCCTCCTTTGAATTGTTAGTGCCCCTTGAAGCTTTCTAGTTATTAAAAAAATGTGTTTGAAATGAAAATAAATTCTCCTAATTATTGGATTAGGATAGTTGCTGTCCTACAACACCCTGTTTCATGTTGAAGTTGAACTAGCTTTCAGGAAGAGTATGAGCGCAGGGCGTATCATTAACATACTCTCTGCGCCATTACATTAGTAGCTTTCTTTGTGAACCTATTGAGATGCTCTTATCTGATAAGATGAAGAATGATCGAGTATCGGGATCTTTTCTTTGCTTCTTTTGTTAACCGAAACTAGTTATTTTAATAGTGATTTTTAAATATCTATGTTCTTGCATAACAGCCATTGAGTAGTGCCTTTTACATTATTATTCACCGTTGCTCCAGCAAATGAGTGGCTTGTTTGTGTTTTCAGGGTGACAAGGACAAAAAAATCGAAGAGCTGACGCTGGAGTTAGAACGACAAGAGCAATTATGTTCAGCTTATCGGGAAAAATTGTTCGCTTTCATGAACAACGTTGAGCAGGAAACAGAAGAACTAGCTTCAAAAATTGAAGTCATAGTAGACAATGTTAGGAAAATCGAAGCTGAAAGGCACAGATCTACTCACCGTAGTGCAGATAGGCTTTGGCATTTAACTTGACTAGTTTATTGTATGGTTAGGTTTGTATATTTAGTTTCTTGTATGGTTAGGTTTGTATATTTAGTTTCTTGGAACATTTTGCTCATGTACAAAATTCTTTAGGATCATTTTGTTATAGTCAAGATGCATTCAACATTGTGCAATGAAACTTAAAGCATCTTGTTAAATGAAATGGGAGATTCGTGATCCTCTTGTGGGTTGATTTTGCCTGGATAAAAAAAAAAGTTGAAATAGAAACAGTTTTGAAATTTTGAGCAATTAGCTCTTTGATTAGAATATAGAGACAAATTAATGTCAAATCAACATCTTTCAATCTTAATGAGAGGCCTAAGCCCCAATGTTAGTAGCATGTAAACACTGAAGTCTTACAATATAATCCTTCTCTCTCGGCTTCGTTTCTTTCAAATTAACCTACAGTATATATATATTAACTTGATCTTCTTTCATCATTTGCTTGAACCCCATGAAATTAACTCTACCATCTCCATCTGCATCAACTTTTGTTATCATCTCCTTGCAATCCTCAATAGGTCTTCCTTGCTTCAACCCTAGTGATGACAAAACTGACCTCAACTCTTCGAATGTGATGAATCCGTCTCTGTTTTGATCGAAGACGTTAAATGCTTCCATCATATCTTCTTCATTCTGCTCATTCACTATGGTTTGATACAGTATGCCAAATTCATCAATATCCACGAAACCATCTCCATTTACATCAATGCTTTCAATGATTTGGCTTACTTCTTTATCTGAGATGAACAGACCATGTTCTCTAACGAATCACTGAGCTCTCCTTTTGTGATCCCGTCATCTCCGTTTCTATCAAACATCTGAAACACGCGACGAAGCTCAACGAGGGTTTTTAAAGGATGCACTGTTAAAGAAGATCCAACTGAACCTAGACAGGGTCTTCTAGTTTAATTTCCGTGGGAATTAAAGGCTGTTTTAGTTTAAAAAATGATCGACTTTGGGCTAAAATCAGACGTGCATAAATTTGCAATTTTTGCAGTTATATGGAATGTTGGTTTTACTTTTGATTTGTTTTTCTTAATTTAAGAACTGGACAGTTAATGAAGTTATAATTTCTTTTAATTTAATCCCATTATTTTCGGTAATAAGTTAGAATTTAATTACATTTAAAAAAGTTATTGGGTTTCAACTTCTCAATTGAATTTCGTGATTAAAATGAATGTTATTTTGTTTTAAGGTCTTGAATTTAAGCAGCTAAGTCTATATGGTGCGTGCACGCTATCATCAGTCAAAAAATATTATAAACATATATTATCTTATAATCACTCATTCTATTAAAAAAAAACTTTGAAGTTTAATTAACATATGATTATATCCAATGTGATCCATTTTATTTATTATTTAAAAAATCATTGTTCAATATTAATAAGATTTTTAGTATCTACAGATTTGTTTTTTTTTTAAATATGTGTCTAACATTTTCTCCGTTACACTTTTAGGTGTCTACCGTTATATAGTTTGCTTTTTTAAGGCTTAATACAATTTTAGATTCCTAATCTGTATCTCAAATTGACTTTTGGTGCTTAAAAAATTTATCGCTAAAAATAAGTGTCTAATATTTCCAACGTTACACTTTTAGGTGTCTAGACTGTAACGGTTGTTATCTGACATGTAACGCACATATAAATTTTTTTTAAAAATATTATAATTTTAAAAATAAAAAACCCCCCAAAATTTCACCACCGATCGTCGACAAGACCAAAACTCACTCCCCAACCTACTGTGAAACTGTGTTGATCGTCATGAAAAGCGTTTCGAATGTCTCCGGTTTTCTAAGTTTTTTTCCGTTGTTTTGTGACGATTCTAAAGAGTACAGTTGATCTTACGTTATACAACTGCCACCATTGAGTTCCTTATCTTGCTCCGAACAAAACCTAGTCGATGGTGACCCTTTGATGTATTCGGAGGTTAGGGATAAGTGGAAAAGGAACGACACAGGGAAGAGTTTGATTTTTTTTTTTTTTAAATAATAATTTTATTATTAAAAATAAAAATATAATCATAAACATCTAAAAATATAATATAGAAACATTATACACCTGTTTTTTTTTTTTAAAAATTAAGCATCAAAAGTTGAGGTATGGTTTAGACACCTAAAAAGTGTATTAAGCTTATTAATAAATACATTTTATATTATTTAATCTTTAATTACTTAGTAACTGGAAAATTAACGATACATTGTTTTTTCAAATAAAATTAGGAGTTGAGATAGTAAAATTTTCAAGTTAATTGTTTAAATGAAGATAAACGAGAAAAAAAACATATAAAAGATAATCTTTTCTGATATTTTTAAATTATTATATATATTTCTTAAAAATGTATTAATCCGACAAATAAGATTTATCATCATTTAATTAAACGAACGAATATAGACAAATAATTCATTCGTCTATTTACATTGGTGAATGTTTGGTAATCTGTTAGTTTATATTCAATTATATTCTTTCGTTTATATTTAGTCTGGTCTTCAAACCCGTTTAAAATATTAAGACTTAATAAATTTTAACCTTAAACAGATCAATATTTAAAATCCAATTAATTGTAAGCCCAAATAAAAAGTACTCGAATCCATTAAAGAAAATATAAACCCTAAAATTATTTAGAAATTTTTTTTTTCTAAATATAAACTCAATTAATTTTATGTTTGTTCCTTTATATCTGTTCGTTTACGTTCGTTCATTTGTGTTCGTTTATTATTTTAACGTATAAATATGAACGGACATGAACAAGTTATATTGCTTAATAAACGAACACGAACAAGAAATTTTGTTCGTTTATTTATTCATTCGTTCGTTTGATTAAAGTTAAATAAACATATACAAAAATACTCTTATTCATATTCGTTTGATTCGTTTACAATTTTAATTTTAAACTCAATAATACTTGAGTTTGATTTAACTTATTTACAACCCTTTCGGGTATTATATATATATCCAAAACCAGTAAAACAGGAAAATGAACGTCATATAAAAAATTAAGAGGAGGGGCATTTAACCCCCGAAGTGCCATTGAAGAAATGGATCACATGCATAGCTGGAAACCCAAGCAAAGAAGATTTCTTTCCCCTTTTACATGCATAGAATTTCACAGGATTCATTCTTTTCTTTTATTAACAAAATCAAAAACAAAATCCTCCTCATCAAATCATGAACTAATGCTATTATCATCAGTTTCTCGAAGACGGTGGACGAAAAGCTAAAGTCAGGGAAAACATATATATTAACGATGCAAGAGTGTTTTAATCTACGGCGGGATCGCCATGGAAGCCGACACGTTATCAGTGGAAAAGTTGTGATTGAACATGGCCCTGGTTTATCAGGTCCTGGAAAATCAGCCGCTGTTCAGATTCATAGCACAACACAAACCGACCCAAGTAAGTTCTTGTTTTGCTGGTGATTATTTAGTTAGTTCTTCATTTGATTTGATTGATTAAATAGAAAGACTACTGTTCTCCCCTTGATTTCTTCTTCTTTAATGGCTTCAATATAATCACCGAATAGATACCGGGAAAGGGAAGCTGAGCGAGAAAGCATGCCTGAAGAAAGGAAAGAGCAGGAAAAAAGATGGCACAAAAATTACAACTTACAAGATCAAGTTACACGTAGAGCCTGGATTTGGAAATCCAGGAGCTTTCGTTATAGAAAACAATCACAAGCATAGATTCTTCCTTCAATCTGCAACTCTGGTAATCCCAGGAAATAGGTTCATCCATTTTGACTGCCGGTCTTGGGTGTATCCGATCGAAGTCACGAACGCCAGTCGTGTTTTCTTTTCCAACACGGTAGGTTTCTATATAAATTTGGTCTTACTTTCTTTTCTTTTCTTTTTTGTACTTTTAATGCATTTTTGAAGTTGAATCTTTGTATTTTGTGTTTGCAGTGTTATCTTCCAAACCAAACCCCTGCTGGTCTACTGGAATTGAGAAAGGAAGAGCTTGAAAGCTTGAGAGGTGATGGAACTGGTGAAAGGAAAGAATGGGAACGAATCTATGATTATGATGTGTATGATGATCTTGGCAATCCTGAAAAAGGCCCAGATTATGATAGACCCGTCTTGGGTGGTTCCGATGCATATCCGTATCCTCGCCGGGGAAGAACCGGGCGTCCTGCTAGTAAAAGTGGTAACAAATGCATACATACATGTGTGTGTGTGTGTTCTTCATTGTTATTACATCTTGATCTTAATTTTGTTTCTAATCATTGGCCAGAAACTATTAGCTTCGACGTTTATGTTCCGGCGGATGAGCGATGCAGTCCCAAGAAACTATCCGAGTTCATTGCAAATGCAATCCAAGCCACAGCTCATTTCCTTCTACCAGAGGTGAAGTCGTCGTCTCATGATTCGAGTAGTTTCGAGTCGTTCGATGAGATACGGGAGCTGTATTCCGAAAACAGAGGCGAAGCGATTAGGGAAGAATCGGTTATGGAGAAAGTGAAGAAAGTAGTACCAGCTGAGCTTTTCAAAGAAGTCACTCATAAATTTGAATATGACATTAAATTCCCACTGCCTCAAATCATAAAAGGTGATATCATAGCAACAAGAATCTGCCATTACTGTTCACAGCGAAAGCATTGCTAATCTCTTCAAGCTTTCTGTTTCTCAGCTAACCAATTCGCATGGAAGCTGGATGAGGAATTCGGACGCCAAATGCTTGCAGGGACTAATCCTACACGAATTCGTTGTTTGAGGGTCACTTTCTAAATCAGAAACTAAATTGTGTTAGCATTACTGGTAAACCAGACATATATATAAGCATCTTCTGAATGTGAAATTCTGTAATAATTCAGGAATTCCCACCTCGAGGAACGCTAACCGAAAGCTACATACAGATATCTGACATTGAGGAGAACCTTGATGGTTTGAGTTTTGAACATGTAATGTAATCTGAAAACATAAAATTTAAGATTTTGTCCTGCTGTTTGTGAATTGACTTTCAGTATATATATTACAGGCAATGATACAATGGAGGATTTATGTCCTGGACCACCATGATTATCTCTTACCGTTTTTAAGAAAAATGTACTCCGCGGGTGTCTGCCCTGGTGCAACCCGAACATTACTATTTTTAAGAAATGATTGCACCTTGAAGCCGTTGGCAATAGAGCTGAGCTATCCGGGTTCCTTCGACAACATCAACGGGACGAAAACCATGGTAATCCTCCCTGAAGAAGAAGGCACCCTTCAAGCACTTTGGCAGTTGGCAAGGGCTCATGTTGCAGTCAATGACTATGCATACCATCAACTCATCAGCCATTGGTTATGAGCCATAAATTTTATCTGAAAATCCTCAATTTTTCCTTCTCCATTAGGACTGATTCAGAATAGTTTAAACACCATTTTTTTTCCAGGTTGCATACTCATGCAGTTGTCGAGCCGTTCATCATTGCCACTAGGAGACAACTGAGCGTGATGCATCCGGTCCACCGCTTGTTGGACCCTCATTTCAAAGATACCATGCACATAAACGCACTAGCTCGAACCGTTCTCATAAATGCCGGAGGAATCCTTGAGAAGACACTTTTCACAGGAAAATTCTCCATGGAATTGTCTTCTGAACTTTATAAAGAGTGGAGATTCGACGAACAAGCTCTCCCCTCCGATCTAATCAGAAGGTACATACAATGATGCTAAAACAATCTGTCAAAACGGTATGTAATCAATGCTAAACCATATAATTTCTCAGGCGTATGGCCCTGAATGAGTCAGAGAGCCCCATAGGAGCTCATATACTCTTCCAAGATTATCCTTACGGTCTAGACGGTATCGATGTATGGCTAGCCATCCAAACATGGGTGGGAGACTTCTGCAACATCTTCTACGAAGACGATGCTTCAGTCAAATCCGATACCGAAATCCAAGCATGGTGGTCAGAAATCCGAAACGTCGGTCACGGTGATAAACGCAACGAGACATGGTGGTGCCAAATGACAACAAAGGAAAATCTCAAGCATACATTAACGACACTCATTTGGATAACATCAGCCCTTCATGCATCAGTGAATTTCGGGCAATATACGTATGCAGGTTATCCTCCGAACCGTCCCACTCGGTGTCGGAAGTTCATTCCCGAAGAAGGGACGATGGAGTTTGCGGAGTTCTTGAAAGACCCCGATAAGTACTTCCTCAACATGTTACCTGATAAGTTTCAGGCAACGCTTGGGATGGCATTAATGGAGGTGCTCTCAAAGCACACGTCTGAAGAAGTTTACTTGGGACAGAGGCCGACATCGGAGTGGATAGACAATAAGGAGGTGACGCAGAGATTTAAGAAGTTCAGTGAGTGTTTGAGGGAGATAGAGAAGCAAATGCTGGAGAGAAATGGAGATCCAGAGCTGAGAAATAGACGGGGTCCGGCTAAAGTGCCATACAAACTTCTTTACCCTGATGCGACCAAGGTCGAAGGCATCACGGCCCAAGGGATTCCTAATAGTGTATCTATTTAACCTATCTTTTCTATAAACCATATAACATATTTTATACCCTACATTTATTTAAAATTCCATTTGCATTTTTAATCTGTTTTTAATTTCCGAACCCTTGGTTAATTGTATATAAATTAATTAGTCTGAATTTTCTAACATATTTTGATATTAATTTAGTGTTTTGGAGATTAGTTATTGTTCTATTTAATGTAATTTTTTGTTTCATGTTTTTATTTTATTTTGATCTTGGATGATAATGACGTTGAAGAAATCACTTTTGCTTAGAGCCATGGTTTCAAGAACATCGAAGTGGAGATGGATAATAATGAAGTGGTGAGGATTTTAAACTCCCACTTGAAGGCTACAGACGAATGAATCGACCATCATTCGACAGATCCAACGATACCTCAATTTTCAATGGAGCATTAAGATGACTCATTTTTTACGAGAAGCCAATGTCGCGGCTAATGCCCCAACTCATCCAGGAAGGACTGGATTCCTGAGACTCTCGATCCTTCAAAAACCACCGTTTGGAATCCAACGCCTTCTCAATACCAATAGTCAGTGATGGAGTTATGTAAGAGCTGGGGGCTCATTGGATTCCTGAGACTCTTGCTTCTTTCCCCTTATTTATAATCTAATTTCCATGATGTGTGAAAAAGGAAGGAAACATGAGCCTTGTTGCAATGAGCAGAGCACATTGCTATTTAGTTGCCTTCTCTTTTAAATTTCTTTCAGGGACTTGTACTTGCATTGTTACTCTCAAGTCTAAGCCCTGACAAAATATGATCTCATTGTCATAATTCAAACAGGTGTTTGTTACTTTGTGTAGATCATGGGGTCTTGTACTGGTAGTCTTGTATCCCAAGAAAAGTTTGATCTTATGTTTTTCCTTATATTTTCTCTGGCAATGGGAAGGCTCTTAAAGCCTTGCAAAATTAATTATCTTTTGGTTATCTACCAGATGTGTGGCAATGCAACATACTTATTTTCTATGCTTGCATGAAATCTTGAGAAGTTTGCATGAAGTAGATGGATCATGGAACCAATGGCTTTTTCTGAATCTATCAATTGTATAACGTCTCCTCTTCATCCTTAGTAAACCCCCCCCCCCCGGTCCCCTCTTCCTCTGACTTTGCAAAAGCTTGTAGATTGTCATATTAGGTATTGGATGCGACCAATTTTGCAAGTGATCATACCTTTGCAATGAATAACAAATTGGCACTGAAATTTGAATAAGATATTGGTTGTGCCTATTCTATTAAGCAGCCAAGATTGAATGCTTCATCTAAGAATGTTTATTTTGGGAAAAGTTTCTGTAGATCAGCGTTAAAATTTGGTCTACTTTCCTTGGTTTTCTCAATTTGCAGTTTGTCTGTACCAGGTGCCTTAGATGGCTTTGGATTAGGCCAATGGACTGCCGTTGAATATGTCTAGTAAGTTGAATTCTTTTCCATTAAGTGCCCGACTTCTACCATGGACACTTTCTTTTGAGTATTAGATATAGATTTCTCCTTTGTTGTCCCACTTCAAAACAAACATTATGTCATGCCTCGATTTTCGTGTCAATAGTTTTGGTCAATCCGAAACCTAATATTAGAGCCCATTAGATTAAATAGAGCCATTTTAGACCAATTATAAAGGGTATTGGGCCTAAGGTAGGTTCAAGAGTTAAGTTTAGTGGTAGTTTTAAATTAAATAAGAAAGGAGAGGGACCTATATAACAATTTATCCTAGCTTATTTTAAGGATATAAACCTTCCCATTCTCCATAAAGTTCCATGCAAAAATCTCTTATTTCATTTTCTCTTCCATCTTCTTCTCCCGTTTCCTTCTCATTAACAAACCAAGGTGAGATTTCAAGCTAGATTGAAGAAACCAAGGTAATTTTCTTATTCACCATTCCCTTAACATCAATTAGAGCCATTAATTTCTAGTTTTGGTTAAGATTTTAGAAATCAAATGTTTTAAGTCGTTTTAGGAGTGTTTGAGTTGTAGGGAGTGTATCTAAGCTTTATCTAACACCTAGTTAAGTAAGTAATCCATTTTTATACCTTGATTAGTTAAAGAGGTTGAAGAGAGAGTTCAAGAGAAGGGAAAAGGAAGAGTGGATCCCTAGTTGATTCAAGAAGTGTTATAGCATCCCAAGAATTCAGGTAACACACTATTAGTTTTTTCATACTAGTTGTAGGATCATTAGAAAGAAGTTTACCTTGAAAGTTGAGTATGAGCATGTTTATTAGCCTTCCATGATAGATTTTATGTTTAATGTTTTTAACATGTTTCTAAGCTTTATTTATGCTCCTCTTTAATCACATAAGACTTTAAGAACGTTTCACTAAGGTCTTCGGATTAGATGAATATGAGATTTTTCAAGTGAAAATGTTTTTTCTATAGTTGGAGTATTGATACTATAGGGATAGAATCGATACTTGTTCATCATTCCAAGCAAAATGCATGTTTTCTGGGTAGGAGTATCAATACTCTTACAAGAGTATCGATACTTTAGGAATAGTTTCGAAACTCCCAAGCAAGTATCGGAACTTGCCAGAACAGAGAGCTAAAAAGTATCGGTACTGATATAAAGTATCGGAACTTTAGTAGGAGTATCGATACTCCAGGGATAATATCGATACTTTCAGTCTGTTTTGGGTAGAAAGGTCAGTTTTTGAGGGAATTAGACTCGAGGTATCTCAACACTTCTTTATATCATCAAATAAGACTACAAGTGGAACAATATTAATGTTAATTCAAACGTAGAAACCAAATAATTAGGGATAAATAAGACTAGCCTTGTTTGATGCTTGGGAAACAATTCGAACACCCGAGTTCCTTTAGAAAAGCTAGTGGAGTCGAAAGTATAGATTTAGTCCGGATATATCCTTAGGTAGGGCGCAAGACCCTTAAAATCAACTAACTAAGTCCAGATAGTATTGATACTTTTTGTTTGTTTTGGGCAGAAATGTTAATTTTTGAGGGAATTAGAATTGAGGTACCCCAACACTTCTTTATATCATCAAATAAGACTACAAGTGGAACGATATTAATGTTAATTCAAACGTAGAAACTAAATAATTAGGGACAAATAAGACTAGTCTTGTTTGATTTTTGGGAAACGATTCGGACACCCGAGTTCCTTTAGAAAAGCTAGTGGAGTCGAAAGTATAGATGTAGTCCGGATATATCCTTAGGTAGGGCGCAAGACCCTTAAAATCAACTAACTAAGTCCAGATAGTATTGATACTTTTTGTTTGTTTTGGGCAGAAATGTTAATTTTCGAGGGAATTAGAATTGAGGTACCCCAACACTTCTTTATATCATCAAATAAGACTACAAGTGGAACGATATTAATGTTAATTCAAACGTAGAAACCAAATAATTAGGGACAAATAAGACTAGTCTTGTTTGATTTTTGGGAAATGATTCGGACATCCGAGTTCCTTTAGAAAAGCTAGTGGAGTCGAAAGTATAGATGTAATTCAGATATATCCTTAGGTAGGGCGCAAGGCCCTTAAAATTGACTAAGGTTGAGGCCTGAAACTCGCAAGAGATGGGTTAGTCAGGGGTATGGTGTCCAATGCAGAATTTTGAGGGCCATATCTCAATAGACTAGAGGGGTGTGTGAGCTCAGAGATACAATAATCCCTCAGCCGCAGCATGATGTCTATAGTAGCGTAAAGAGTGAGTATCACAAAGATATTCACTAAGTAGATCAGATCAGTAGACTTGATAGCTAACCTTTTAGTGATATGCAGTTAGTATGTTTCAGTTATTAGTTTGTCGTTGAGCTAGTTAGCTCAGCCTTCGGATTGTTTCCGTGGGCAGGTCAGTAGATCCAGCAGGTGAGGAGCAGTAGATAGACCAATAACCAGTGCAGATTCAGAGTACGCCTCAGCATTTTTGAAAGGGCATGTATAATTGTAAACTTTATTTTTCTAGTTGAGTCGTAGTTTCAGTAGAGTAATATGTATCATTTTTTAAAGTGTAAATATTTCAAATTTGGAGCTCCTAAGTGTAAAGATTTTATTTATTTTTCAGTTTATTTTACAGTTGTTTTATATTTAAGGAAAGTAATAAAAAGTTGGTCAGCCACTTCGGTAGTTCCGTGTAACACCTTAAATCGGTCGACCGTATGTCGTAATAGTCTAGGGTGTTACACACTCCCAAAGGCTGACGATCGTTTCATTTTCCGGATTGGGGTTGTTGTTAACATGTTTGTTTCTTAAAATTATGGTATCTCAAGTAAACATGCCATTCCTTTTCCATTATTCTGTCCTGCAAGGAATTGGTGCTGATAGGAACAATTGTTTAGCAGTTAGATGTTAGTTGTGGAAGAACGGAATTTTTTTTATATAGCATTCTCCAAGAGAATAAGACATTTTTATATTGTTAGTTTACTTATATTGGTGGAGTTAGTATTGTCAACAAGTAGAAGAAATAAAGGTTTAAAAGTACACCTCACCAGCTTAGGTAGTCTGTAGAACCATTCTATATTTAGTGTAAGAACTTTTAGGGGTGATAAAATTGCTAAAGTGATGGAAATACAGACATCCGAACCCAGGAGAAGATTCACTTGGGTAGAAGACTGATGAGGTTGGGTGCAATTGGGTTGACAAGCCATCCCGGCCTTGGAGGGGCTTGAGTTTATACTATATTGTACTATAGTGTTGAGTTAATCGATCGACGGAATTAGCCAAGAGGGGGGTGAATTGGCAATTAAAAATTCGGTGGAAGTTTTTGCAGAAAATTGAAAAGATTTGCACAGCGATTTAGAGTGGTTCGACTTTCTCAATCAAAGTCTACGTCCACTACCTTAGCTATCCACACTAAGGATTTTCCAACAAATTCACTAATTTGTTCTTTCTTTTGAGGCCAAAGAGACAACCTTACAATACCCTCAAGAATATACCCCAATTCTTGAGAATACTCTTTTCCCAAAGAGAAGATTACAAATTTGCAAACTTACAAGGAAAACCTCACAAGGTAAGATGTTTGCACAATTCTAGAACAAGAAAAGAACACTCAAAGATAATTACAAATGAGCACAAATGGTGTTCTTGAAAGAAAAATGAATATTG